GCCACCAGCACAGACATCAGCACCGGACAGCCAGGCAGGGCTGGAGCTGGCACATTTGGAGCCATAGGGATTAAGTAGAATAACCCACCCCTAGAGATTTCATTCCCCACCCCAGAGACCATAATCCTGTAGTGAGTACAGGGGCTGGGCTGAAACCCCAGGCTCAGGAGGTAGAACCAGACGGGTACTGCCTGTGCTCAGCAATGAGCTGAAGCTGCATTCTCCAGCAAGGGAAGGGTCTGCAATACCAACGGCTTGTGGCAAACAGTGCAAGAAGGCTCATTTCCCCCTTTCCTTCCCAGCTTCGTACTCCGCAATGGGGATAGGAAGGAGGCACCATGTGCTCTGCTGCCACCAGCCGGGCCAGCCAATTTCTCTGCCTGAGACCCCGGTGTTTCCCATCCATTCATTCCCCCGCAGCCGGATGAGCGCAGGAATTACCCTCACCTGCAGAGCAGCCTTACCTGGTGGCTTCTCTGCCCTGCACGGCCTCAGGATCCCAGAAGGAAACGGTTTGGCACTGCCGTTGGCTTGGAAATCCAGCGGCCGGTGAGTTTCTCCCAGCGCCCTACGTGCAATCAGCTAGTCCCCGCTACCAGCTCAGCCTCTCCCTTCACCCTAGCTCAGGCCTGCCAGTGACTCAGAGAGGAGGGGAAGAGGTGCAGCTCCTTCCCCGCCCTACCAAGCGTGGCCAGCAGGCAGGAGGAGCAGAATGGGAAACCTGCCTGCGTGAGATGCCGAGCAACGGCCCAGTGGCCTGTCTGACCCAGCCAGGATACTGATCTGGGCTCTAGCCCAGTACATTGCCCGTCCCCCACAGCGTGCCTGCTCTGTCTGCGGCACCGACAGCCCCGCACACAGCACTGGGGTTGTGCAAACTCAGCTCGGGATAATTCCAGCTCACCCGCCCAGAGCTGCAGGGCAAGGGGAGGCAGAAGGGAGCTCCTGCCTGCTCTCTCTCAGACACAGACCTTGCCTGCCTCCCCCAGAATTCTCGGAAGCAGGGGCTGACTCAGAGGGAAACAGACCCAGCCTAGGTAAACTACCCATCTGATTCCCCTCTGCCCTCCCCCAGTGTGTCAGGAGCAACCCACTGGGGCCAAATCCCCCTTGCTCCCCTGGGTGAAAATCCAGAATAACCCACTGGGGCTTCATTCCTTCTAACTTGCCTGGTGTAAATTCGGAGTAACCTAGGTTACGTCTAGACTACATGGCTCCGTCGACGGAGCCATGTAGTCTAGACGTAACCTAGGTTACTCCGAATTTACACCAGGCAAGTTAGAAGGAATGAAGCCCCAGTGGGTTATTCTGGATTTTCACCCAGGGGAGCAAGGGGGATTTGGCCCCAGTGGGTTGCTCCTGACACACTGGGGGAGGGCAGAGGGGAATCAGATGGGTAGTTTACCTAGGCTGGGTCTGTTTCCCTCTGAGTCAGCCCCTGCTTCCGAGAATTCTGGGGGAGGCAGGCAAGGTCTGTGTCTGAGAGAGAGCAGGCAGGAGCTCCCTTCTGCCTCCCCTTGCCCTGCAGCGATTATTTAAATCGCGGCTTCATTTCCCTTTGCCGATCAGCCTAATCTACATGGCTCCATCGACGGAGCCATGTAGTTTAGACACATCCCTACTGTGCCTGTAAATCGGGAGTAATCCCACTTAAGGAAGTGAGGTTACAGCGGGGTGGGCAATCATTTTTGACAGGGGGCACTCTGAAATTTTGGAAAGTGGTCGAGGGCCACACTCTTCCAGGAGATGAATGGAGGAGGTGTGGAGTGTGGGATGGAGGTTGGGTGCAGAAGGGAGCTTGGGGGAAGGAACTGGGGTGCAGGAGGGCCTGTGCGGTCTGGGAGGGAGTTTGCATGAAGGAGGCAGTTGGGACCTAGGGCAAGGGACAGGGGATACAGGGGTTTGGGTTGTGACCCAGGGCAGGAGGAGATTGTGATCTGTGGCAGGGGATTGGGGTGCAAGGTCTGGGAGGGGTATGGGCTCAGGAGGGGGGCAGAGGATGTGGGATCTACATGCCTCTGGCGACAGAGCCATGTAGTGTAGACGTACCCATAGTGTGCGAGCCACCCGATGGCTTTGTTCTTTTTTCTTCCTGTCCCTCCTTTTTTTTCTCCTTTTCTTTCTTTTTTCCCTATTCTCCCCACCCTTCACTGCCTTCTTCCTTTCCTTATTCTTGGATCTGGACTTCTAACACTCCTGTCATCTGACAAAGTGGGCTGTGCCCATGAAAGCTCGTGATACCGTCTACGTGTTTTGTTAGTCTATACAGTGATACCAGACCTTTTGCTGTCTTTTTAGTTTATCCTGTACAGCAGTGGTCCCCAACATGGTGCCCGCGGGGGCATTTGTGTGCGCTCGCCAAGTGCTCGGGGCTGGCCTGGCCCCGGACACGTGGCGCATGCATGGTGCCGGAGCCGGCCCCGGGCGCGCCATGGATTGGCCACCCGTGCTCTGGGCGCGTGGTGTTTGGGCGGTGGGGGAGCGCCGGCCCTGCCCCCGCGGCTATAGGGGGCCCCACCCCCAGGCGTGCAAGTGTCCCCGCCCTCTGGCGCCCGGCAGGCGATCGGCTATGCCCCCGACGCCTGGCAGCCTCAAATGGTTGGGGACCACTGCTGTACAGACTAACCCGGCTACCCCCGAAGCTTCTAATCATTTTCTGTTTTTTGAAATTTCTATTCTGCTTTGCTCTGCTTGGTCTCACTTACAGCCCCTTAAATCCTACTGCTTGTACTTAATAAAATCTGTTTTACTTACTATCAAGCCCACAGCAAATAATAGTTACTTGGGAGAGCAATCAGTGTGTACATCCTCCTTTCATTGATAAAGGGGGCTTGCTTGAATGATTCATTTGGGTTTCTGATCCCCTCTGGGGAGTGGTTTCCCAGGAAACTGGGACCAAAACTGCATTTTCCTTGGAGCTGAAGAGTTTCAGCATATATATATTGCTCCTCAGGGTGGCGGTGGTCTCAGCTCTGTGCCTTGGCAGGGGAAGACCAGGTGAGCTGTCCCAGCAGTACCCGGTGGTGAGAAGCCCCAGAGAGCAAAGAGGCGAATGTCAGTGGTTTTGTTAGCACTCCAGGAAGCAGCCCCAAGGGGTCTTCTGTGACCGCACCCATCGCAATCTGGATTTTGTGGATTCAGTGACTCTGGGGTGACTGGTGTCTACCATCTGGGTGCTGTGGACCCAGCTCAGTCATGCTGCCCACTGACACACAGCAAGGGAACAGAGGGTGTGTCTAGACTACAGGAGTTTTTCCAAAAAACTGCACCTGTGTCTAGACTGCAGTCGCGAAAGTAAATCGAAAGAAAGCAGCAGTTTTTTCGATCGCGGTAAACCTCGTTGTCTGAGCCTCGCTGCCCAGGACTGCAGGCTTTGGGCTTCGGTTTTGGCTCTGGATAGTGGAGCTCAAGCTTCAGCTGGGCTTGGTGGGGAGGGAATAAGGGCAGGGCTCGCCGAGCCGTGCTGTCCGGTGTTCTGCGCATGCACAGATCGCCAGAACCCGGCTTTTCTGGGTTGTAATCTACTTGCCACGGGTGTTGTGGGCGGTAATCTACTCGCCGTGTAATCTACTCGCCGAGGGGCGGTGCTAGGGGACCAACCTGGCAGCACCCCAGCTGTTCTGCCCCAGGTGTCCCCAAGTCAGCCGTTGCTGAAACTGACCAGCGGCTGACTCAGGGAAACCAGGGCAGAGCAGCTGGAGTGCCCAGAGTCAGCCGCTGGTCAGTTTCAGCAGCGGCTGAATCGGGGAAGCCGGGGGCAGAGTAGCTCCAATTGTCTGGCTGCCCGGAGCACTTCCGGGTTCCAGATGGTGCCGGACTATCAGGAGTGCCGGCCCATTGGATGCCGGACCACTGGAGTTTTACTGTAATTTGTAGAATGTTTAATGGTTAGCATAGAATGCCCCCAGGAGTATAAATTGACAATTTGCTTTGTCTGTGCGCTGGGATTGAGAATGTGTTAGCTGTCGTGTTCTCCAATAAGCAACTTTGTCAAGTGTGGCAAGCCCTCAGTGCAGAACAAGATGCGGATGTAGAAGCTGAAACTGAGGGACCCTCACCAAGTTGGGCTGGATTCATGCTAGTGACTTCTTGGCCAAGGCTCTGTAGTTCTCTGGGACGTCCAGTCCCCCTCAGTGCTAGTGTGAAACCTTCAGGAATGAGGCTTGTTTTGGGGCAAGGTGACTTGCCTTATGTTGGTGTTGTACAAGGCCTTAGCTTAGTCAATGAAAAGGATTGTGAAATGCCCAAGAATGTTACACGAGCTAGTGGAAGAGCTAGGGTTAGTGTTCCTGATCTGCCTGCTTGCAATTCTGTACACGTTTCTGTACAGTACAGGCACCTCTGAAACATCACTGGTCTGGCGAGAGTGCTCAAAAGTAGGCTTGGCAGAACTGGATTTTTAAAAAATAATTTGATGGATAATATCTGTGTTTAAGCATTTTTTATCTGTATTGATTTAAATGTTCACAGTTGGAGGAAATTATAATTCAGATAATGACAGCAGATGTTTAATGATAGATGTTGATATTCAAAAAAATTCAAGGTTTATTAAAATTATTAAAACATAAATTGTCAACATTACAGGGCAAAATATAGACAGTAAATATCCTTAATCAACAAATTATACCTGTTTTTACAATTCATTTATTAGTCCATTTATAACAATCCTCATTCAGAGTCTCAATCACTGTATTTTGACTACTAAAATCTCAGGTGGCATTATCTTACTTTGCTTTTCTGTAAATTTATTTTAGTGTTCTGGAAATATTTTTTCATAGGTTTGTGTGTGTGGTGAAATTGACATTTACCAATAAACATCTAAACCTTTCAAGTCCGTTCACAAGGATCTGTGTGGGCAAGTGTGGTAGCTTTTCTGCCAAATTCATTTGGCTTGGCAGGTCTGGAAGGGAAACCCACCTACTCTCAGGCTGTGTCTACACTGGCATGAATTTCTGGAACTACTTAAAATGGAATACTATTCCGTTTTCAGTTTTTCCGGAAAAGGAGCGTCTACATTGGCAGGCTGCTTTTCCGGAAAAGCCCTTTTTCTGGAAAAGTGTCTGTGGCCAATGTAGACGCGCTTTTCTGGAAAAGAGACCCGATTGCCATTTTCGCGATCGGGGCTTTTTTCTGGAAAAGACTACTGGGCTGTCTACACTGGCCCTTTTCTGGAACAGTGTTCCGGAATAAGGACTTATGCCCGAGCGGGAGCAGAATAGTTTTTCCGTAATAGTGGCTGATTTTGTACAGTAGAGCATCGTTGCTTTTCCGGAAATCCAAGGGCCAGTGTAGACAGCTCGCAGCTTATTCCGGAAAAGCAGCTGATTTTCCGGAATAAGTGGCCCAGTGTAGACACAGCCTCAGTGTCTAGGAGTCTTACCAATTTCAGCCTGTTGCGGCTGCTTGGGATTCCAACATCCACATCTGTGTCTGGTGCCACGTTGTTTAATGAACTATAACTTCCCTGAGCCCTGGAAGGGAGCAGAAGCCTTACTGCATCCCAGAGCCTTCTGACTGGTGGTGAGAGGGGCCAACCGAGATTGACAGCTGGAGGAGTCCAGCGTAGGTGAGTGGAATTTGTTACTGCAGC